TTTCCACACAAAAAAGCACCGGCTTTATACCTAGATGATTTATCCATCTCGTAAAGACAAAGTACATGTCTTGAATGGCTTATTTGTCTCAGACGAGTAATTCATCCCAAGTATAAATTCGACCACTAAAACGGTATAGTTTTTACTTTAGTATTTTTAATTTTCGTTGTTAGGGTGTAAACAAAGTCCGTACCTTGAACCAACTTAGTGGAGGACTTTCCAAGAATGAAGGCAATGAATCAAACGAAACAGATGATAAACCAGAAGAGATATCCGTGTCCAAATCTCTTAAAAGTGTAAGCAGAAATATGAGAAAGGGCTAGCCAATTAAATGTGACAGAGGTTTTAGCTTAACTGAACTGATAGAGGTTATTGTTCTACTTATCATGTTAGACTGTTGACAGAGTACGACTGAGACTCAAGGTGGCATCTATGTTTAAAGCTCCTTCTGAAACAAGTAAAGATGATGAAAAAAGGTACTTTACAATACATTGATAAAAAGCACAGTGTGCTGGGTTAGTTCCAAATAGAGGAATGTTGTTGTTTATAAAGGAGTCTGTATAATCAGAATTGTATTTTAATAAAGTTTTTTTTCGTTGCTGATTTTGAATTCATGGAAGTCCACCTTTTCCAAAGTACAAGTTTAAATAAATTTAATTGTGAATTCAAAATACCTGTTATCTAACATATCTAAGACACTAAGTTACTCACATAGAATGTCTCTTCACCTGGGAGAATGAATATGTACTGTCCTGAAATGGGCTAGCTCCCTTCCATGGGGAGATTTAGCAACTCCCCTAGTTGCCTCATGTTACACACAATTCAAGCACTTATTCTAAAGTTTGTGGGAGGTATGGTGACCAGATGGTCAGTGCACTGGCTCTGGACTGGGTGGTCAAGGTTCAAGGCCTGGTCAGGGTCATTGTGTTGTGTTCTTGAGCAAGACACTTTACTCCCACGGTGCCTCTCTTCACCCTGAAGTATACTAGATAGGTACCTGTGAATTGTTAGAGTAACCTTAGAAAATGCTGGGGGGTCCCCAGGGGCTTCATTGAGGGCTGGGCAATGGGTCAATTGGCCAGCTAAGAGGATGGTTTTGCCCACCTGGTTTGAACATTTAGAGGAACATTTTTCTTATAGAGAAATTCAGTTCAAGAAATTTTGCCTGCCTGTGAAAACCAGTTACCCTCCTTCTGGAAACATTGATGAAACTCCGGGGTCCCCCTGTGATGAACTAGCATCCCATCCAGGGGAGGTGCAGTGGCAATATTCCTAGCTGCTTCATGCTGCAGAGTTTTTTACATTCAAGATCAAATGTTAATTAAATGTGAAAGCACATGACCACAGCCATTATGGAAAAGGTAGTCAAAAAGATTGACAGGTTTAATTTGGTTCTCAGGTTGGTAAACAAGAGTACTCAGTGACATTGTTGAATAGTAATTTTGCCTTTTTTCACAGGGAAAAAGAATTTCATGCAGTGTTCCACGCAATTCAGAATGAGGTGATTTATGAAACAGTTGTCACTAAATACCTGTAATAACTTTTAAAACAAGTTGCCTGCAAGCAAAAAAAAAAAGGTAGATCTGGCCAGTAGTTATCAACAGTTAACACGCATTTATTTATTTCAAGTATTTAGTCATTGATCTTTTTGAGGCCTTAAAACCTTTCTAAACTGATCAGTTGAAATGAAACTTATTGCACAGAGAAATACAGTGTGGCATTGACATCAAACTGTGCACAGAATGTGTTGCCTTAAATTCCAGGTGGATAGTTGAAGATGAATAATGTTGTAGTACACTACTGTAAAAATATTAGTTTTCTATTTTGTATTCACACAAGCCAGTTTGATTTCCTGTGGTTCACCTTTATCAGATACAGCTGTAGCTGCTTCTGTCCTCCATGTCAAAAATGCTAACTTACAATAGGCCCTAAAGGCTAAAACTACCAGTCCTGCTATCTGCTATCCCATTTCCCAGAGTGAGACAAGTTATAATTGCAGTGGAACCAGGGACTCATTTCTCGAAAGCCCCGGAAACTTTTTGGGCCCGTAAAGCCATTTTTATCTCATATGTATCTAAAACCAGAGAAATGTATATGCCTTAAACTTCTTGTATGAAGGGAACCTCTGTTCATATTAAGAATATGTGAATAAAACAGCTCTGTAATGGTAGGGTTCAAGATTTTGCTATAATGGCTTTCCGGGCCCAAAAAGTTTCCGGGGCTTTCGAGAAACAGGCCACAGGCCTTTAACAGTCATCCCGTAAATACGGCCACTTTATACTGGCTTGAACAAAAGCTCAGTCAGTCATTTTCTTAAGAACCCCTTTAATACTGTCAGATTTTTGTGACCCTTTTCAAGGTGACTGGATTAATGAGGTTCCACTCTGTATAGAAATTGTAGATACATGTAAAGGTTGCATTTTTCCTGTGTTTTACTACACTATATTTAGAACTGTCACCCCCAGTGGACAAACTGTGTCCCTACAGTGTACCAAGTGCCATTGCATTATAAGCAAACCAAATGCAGAAATGGATTATTGAGCTGAAAAACTGGAAATATTTTATTTTAATTAGCATAATTAGGAAACTTGTGAATAGTCACTGCAGCCTTACTATAGCAGAGCTCTGGCGGCCCAAAGGGCCACCAAGTGGAGCCCCATACTCATATAGGAAAGATAAGGAAACCCATGAATGGATTTTCTCATGATTATCATACTTACTTACTTACTTATGCCTAGTGCCCCTCCTGGGGCATAGGCCACCAACAAGAGTTCTCCAGCTATCTCTGTCCTGGGCTTTCCTTTCTAGCTGACTCCAGGTCAGCCCCAATCTC